GCTGCGTCCCACTAAGCTCAAAGGAAAAGTTGTCGGCGACAAAGGTGCATCGGGGAAATACGTCATCAAGGCAGTGAGGTACGTCATTATGTGGTCTCTACGTTGTGGTATCTAGGTTGTGGTATCTCCTTGCGGTGTTGCGAATGGCTGAGACCCAAGGTGTGCCCACCTCCCGCCTCATGTCCCCTCCATCCCTCGCCATGTCCCCTCTATCCCTCTATCACGGCAGGTACTCACCGACGTCATACTATTATACATATGATGTTGAAATCCTGCACATCAGATCTGGGGGAAAGGAGCCTACATTCAGCGCCGGGACTTCTTGCGCTGCCACTGAACTAGGCTAAGTGGGTCAAGTTGTGAGAAACATCACCAGTGACAAGCCCCGCGACAAGCGCTACAGTTTCCTATTTTCAGATGAAAAAATATTTTCGACTCTGGCTGAGACCCGAAGTATCATTAAAAGTGCACTGTCTGATGGCCTCTTTGCAAGAATTGGGTATGAGACACACGTTCAGGCACTCTGTGGAAAGCTTAGGAAAGTGGTGTAATAATTTATATACAGTACATATTGAAATGGTTCTTTAGATAAAAGATGTACCGTTTGTATCACTAAAATTTCTTACAGATATTATCCCAATAAAATCTCTTATATGCTCAGACGTATAAATCTTATACTGAGGAAGGCTGCTTTAAAGCATTTTGTTTGACAGCACAAGCTTATGGGGAGTGGCAGCCAGCAGCCGACACGACAACAGACAGCTGACAGCTGGCCCACAAGAGCTGCCCTGCATGGTCGGCGTGTGGCGCCGCGAGCGTCTTCCAATGGACGATCCGTTTGTATCCACCAGCGACCGGCCGTGAGCGTAGAAACGACGCCACCTCGCGCGGTGGAGCAACTCTCGAGGCCGCTGTGAGATCTCGTTCTCATGCTCCCCGTGCTCCCCGCGCTCCCCGCGCTCCCCGTGCTCCCCGTGCTCCCCGTGCTCTTCCCTCCCGTCCGCCACCTCGCTCTTCCCCCAACGCCATCATCAGCGCCAACGTTTGCACCACCCGCCGCTTCAACCAATTCATCCGTCCACCTTCTGAGTCTCCGACGGCTCCCCCAGCGGCGGCATCTTTTCACCGTTCTTCCATCCTCTCGCAACCGAGCTTCTCTAATCCCCGATTCTCCACGCAGCCCCTTCTTCCGTCCTCTCGCTCGCTCTCGCGTTGTTCAGTACACTACTTTCCGTGTCCCCCTACCCCGCTCACTACGCCAAAATATCGCGCCTTCCCGCGATTTGCCAGCGTGTCTACCCGCATCAGCGGCCGCCGCCGTGACCTGCGCGCCTCACGCTTCTTGCCGCCGCCATCCGCGTGCGCACGCTCGAGCTTCCGCGCGCGTTAAGCCCTTCGCGTTCCGCCCCCGCCACGACCTCGCAGCCGCGGCCGTCGCAAAACTCAAATTCGAGTCCGATTTGCCCGAAGCGGCTTCAAAGCAGCTCTCCGCAACCTCGATAACAGACGCCGACGCGGACGGGTAAACCGGCTGAGATGGCCGCGCGGGACTCGGGCAAGGCGGCGGGGGGAGGCGGAAAGGGGCGCGGGAAGAGCGCGGGGGAGGGTGAGGGCGGCGAGGGGGAGTGGTGGCGGGAGCCGCTGTGGCAGGGCGCGATGATCGTGGGGGGCGCGGTGGTGGTGGTGGGGCTGGGAGTGAAGTACCTGATGGGGGGGAAGGGGGAGGAAGGCGCGCAGACGCACAAGGGGAAAGGGAAGGTGAGGCGGGACACAAGGGATGAGGCGTGGAGGTAAAAGGGTTAATCTCTGGGTAATGGATGGGGCGGAAGGGGGAGGGAGGGGCGCAGCCAGCACACAAGGGGAAAGTGAAGGTGAGACGGGGATGTCAGGCAGTTCGCCGGTGGTGGTGGGGCTGTGAGTGAAGTACCTGATGGGGGCGAAGGGGGAGGAAGGCGCGAAGGCACACAGGGGGAAAGGGAAGGTGAGGCTGGGACTCCTGTTAGATCGCTGGTGGTGAGACGTGGAGTGAGAGGGGTTTATCTTGGGGTGATAGATGGGGGTAGGGTTGATCGTGATGAGGTGGTGATGGCGATGGTGACAGTGATGGCGATGGTGATGGCAATAGCAGGGCGACGTGCACGTGCAAGTGAAGAGCTGCACGCGCAGCCACTAGCTGAGTCGCGCAGTGCTCTCCATGCCTTCTGCACGACTTCCTCTCCCCCCTCGCCTTGCCTCATCCCGCTCACCTTGCCTTTCCACTCTCTCCCTCAGCGATGAAGGCTTAGCGTGTTATGAGCCACTCCCATACCTTGTGCACCTATGTGTTGGCTGGTGTGCGTGCGTGAGGGAGACGCACGCATGCATGTGCGCATGTGTGCATGCATGCATATGTGGGTGTCTGCATGTGTGCCTTTGTGTGCATCCGTTCATTTGCATGAGTCCATGCTGGCATGTGAGCATGCCGTCATGTGTGTCCCCAACCCCCCAATCCCCATCACAGGCAAAGGTGAGGCGGCACGTGCAGGCGCTGGTGGTGGATCCGGACATGACAGTCAAGGTGCACAAAGGCGACACGCTGTGGGGCCTGGCGCACAAGTACCAGGTGAGGGGGCCTGGCGCACAAGTACCAGGTGAGGGGGCCTGGCGCACAAGTACCAGGTGAGGGTGCCTGGCGCACAAGTACCAGGTGAGGGGGCCTGGCGCACAAGTACCAGGTGAGGGGGCCTGGCGCACAAGTACCAGGTGAGGGGGCCTGGCGCACAAGTACCAGGTGAGGGTGCCTGGCGCACAAGTACCAGGTGAGGGGGCCTGGCGCACAAGTACCAGGTGAGGGGGCCTGGCGCACAAGTACCAGGTGAGGGGGCCTGGCGCACAAGTACCAGGTGAGGGGGCCTGGCGCACAAGTACCAGGTGAGGGTGCCTGGCGCACAAGTACCAGGTGAGGGGGCCTGGCGCACAAGTACCAGGTGAGGGGGCCTGGCGCACAAGTACCAGGTGAGGGGGCCTGGCGCACAAGCACCAGGTGAGGGGGCCTGGCGCACAAGCACCAGGTGAGGGGTGGCCATGTCAGCTTTCTCTGCACTCCCAGCAGCCATACTTTCCCCGCTGTCCCCGTTTGCAGCCTCTCCTCTACGCACCACACCGTTGTCTGTTTATGTTCCTGCCATCCAGGCATGGCCCTCGCAGGGCGTCCCACTTGCTCATGCCACCAATCACCCCATCAGGATGGATGGATGCCCTCCTCCCTGCCACTCTCAGGTGCTCGCCGCAGCTCACGATATTCTTTTCATCAGCCTCCCATCAGTTACATCCCCGCCCATGGCCCCCGTGTGCCCCCATGCGCCCCCGTGTGCCCCCATGCGCCCCCGTGTGCCCCCATGCACCCCACATGCACCCATGCCCCCCCAGGTGCCAGTGGACGCGCTGCGCAGTGCGAATCCCGAGGTGCGGGCGACCAGGTGCTGCCCGTGTTCCACCTTCATACTCCCCTCTCATGCGCCCATGTACCCCCATGCCCCCCCAGGTGCCAGTGGATGCGCTGCGCAGTGCGAATCCCGAGGTGCGGGGCGACCAGGTGCTGGCGGGGTCGCGCCTCTACATCCCCAACGTCATCAGCGACGAGGAGTTTGACGTGCGCTCCAACGAGGAGTAGGGGGGGATAGGTTTGCACGTGCAGCAGGGGGTACACTGCATGTGAGGGGGGGGGGGGAGGAGAGTGCTCACGCGGAAGGGATGCAACAGCACAGCCGGCACGTGCACAAGTGACTGCACCTCCCGCTGTTGTGTTCCTCAAGCCGCAGCCTCGGCCACTGGCTGCTGCTGCTGCTGCTGCTGCTGCTGCTGCTGCTGCTGCTGCTGCTGCCCTGCTGCATTGGCTGCACTAGGGGAGGTGTGAGCGGCTAGTGCACCTCTAGAGTTTATCCTGGGTTAGATAGGGGGTATGACGAAATACAGAATCCTGCTTAACATGGATTTTGTGCATATCTAGGTTCTTGAGTCGTAAAAGATGATTGATGTGTTCCATCCGGTTATTGTACAGGTTGACTGCCTAAAGAAGGCACTGCAGAAAATGTTGCCTCCGAGCCACTGGCTAAGTTTACTTTTCTAGTGCATGTCTGCCCATCAAAGCATCCTCATCACTGCCCCTGTCCATAGCCAAACTGGAAGTGCCCATCTGCAATCCCTGCATCTTCTCCTTCCCTGCGACACCGAACTGAACCATATCGGAGGGTGTCTAACACAAGGCACAGCATGTGAGTGCTCACTGCTCTGACTGCTCTGACATGCCATGATACACATAGTGTGCCCGTTGCGAGTGCTCACAGCTCAAATAACGTGTTGCGCAAGGGTGAGCAGCTTAAGCATCTTGCACAATCACCCTCACCACTGCCCTAAACTGGAGGCAAAAATCGCAAGTGCCCAACTGCAATCCCTGCAACTTCCTCATCCCCACTTGCTCCAGCTGAATCCATCCCACATCAGAATGTCACCCTCCCATCACAAAGTGTGCCATCCATAACACAGCGTGTGCCCAGCGTGTGCCCTGCCCAGTGTGACGGTTCATATGACGTGCTGCGCGAGGGTGAGCAGCTTCAGCATCTTTCGTGCCCGCAGCTCATGGCACCAGTCCAAACACTCTAGTCCCCTGCCTACCCTTCCAGACAATCACCCCCTCACCACTGCTGCACGTGGACGCAGCAATGGCAAGTGCCCACCTGCATCTTCCTCACCCCCACTTGCTCCAGCTGAGTCCACTCCACGCCCACATCAAAACGTCACTTTTATGATCCCAATGTGTGCCACTCCTACACCAGTGGCTGCTGTCCTCATACACACGCCATGTAGCCCTTATATGACGTGCTGTGCGAGAGTGAGCAGCTTCAGCATCTTCCACGTCACCACGTCCCCCTTGCGCACCTAGCCCTTATATGACGTGCTGTGCGAGAGTGAGCAGCTTCAGCATCTTCCACGTCACCACGTCCCCCTTGCGCACCTAGCCCTTATATGACGTGCTGTGCGAGGGTGAGCAGCTTCAGCATCTTGCGCGCCCTCAGCTCATGAGGCACCGGCCCAAACACGCGCGTCCCCACCGGCTCCCCTGCCTTGCTGATCACCACAGCCGCCGGCCCATCAAACCGCACCTCGGTCCCATCCTTGCGCTTGTGGTGCGTGGCGGCGCGCACCACCACGCACGTCACCACCTCCCCCTTGCGCACCTTCCCCCGCGGCTCCGCGTCTTTCACCGACGCGATGATCACGTCGCCCAGGCCCGCCGCGTTGGGCGCGCGCCCGCGCAGGACTTTGATGCACTGCACGCGGCGCGCGCCCGAGTTGTCGGCGACTTGGAGGTTGGTGCGCAGCTGCACGAAGGTGCGGTTGGGGGTGAAGGGGAGGGCGGGTGAGGTGGGGGTGATGGAGGAGGAGGTGGGGAGAGGCGCGGAGATGAGAGGGCGGACGGTGAAGGGGATGGTTTGGGTGAAGAGGGAGGAGTGGGGAGAGGAGGAGGAGGAGGAGAGAGGCGGGGAGGGGTGGGGAGTGGTGGAGGTGGGTGTGGAGAGGGAGGGGGGTGCGGGAGGAGGGAGGATGGGTGAGGCGGATGGCGCGTGTGCGGTTGGGAGAAGCGTTGCTGCCACGGCAGTCCTGCAGGCGGGGTGGCGTGGATGATGGCAGCGCAGGGAGGGGAAGAAGCGGGGGACTGGGAGTGAGGAGCGCGTAGCAGGAGGGGAGGGAGAGAGGATGAGCTGGCAGGAAGGATGCGGACAATTGGCAGGAAGAGCAGGGTGAGAGGGGACGAGGGAAGGAGAGGGTGGGCGAGGGGATGAGAGGGACGGAGAGGGTGGGTGAGGGGATGAGAGGGAAGGAGAGGGGGTGGGCGAGGGGATGAGAGGGAAGGAGAGGGTGGGAGAGGGGATGAGAGGGAGGGAGAGGGGATAAGAGGGAAGGAGAGGGTAGGAGAGGGGATAAGAGGAAAGGAGAAGGTGGGAGAGGGGATGAGAGGGAAGGAGAGGGTGGGTGGGAGAGGGGATGAGAGGAAAGGAGAGGGGATGAGAGGGGGGAGAGGGGATGAGAGGGCGGGAGAGGGGATGAGAGGGAAGGAGAGGGTGGGGGAGGGGATGAGAGGAAAGGAGAGGGTGGGAGAGGGGATGAGAGGGAAGGAGAGGGTGGGAAAAGGGATGAGAGGGAACGAGAGGGTGAGAGAGGGTGGGAGAGGGGATGAGAGGGAAGGAGAGGGGATGAGAGAAAAGGAGAGGGTGGGAGAGCGAATGAGAGGTTAGGAGAGGGAATGAGAGGGTGGGAGAGGGGATGAGAGAGGGGGAAAAAGGAGATGAGAGGGGGGAGAGGGGACGAGAGAGGGGGGAGGGGATGAGAGGGGGGAGAGGGGATGAGAGGGCGGGAGAGGGGATGAGAGGGCGGGAGAGGGGATGAAAAGGGGGGAGGGGATGAGATGGGGGGAGAGGGGATGAGAGGGCGGGAGAGGGGATGAGAATGGGGGAGAGGGGATGAGAGGGGTGTGGGAGGGGATGAGGGGGGGGGGTTGAGAGGGGTAAGTACGGGAGACAAAGAAGTGACTGGATAGAAAGAAGTCGGAGGGGAAGCAGAGAGGTGCGAACTGGGAGAGGTTGTTAGGGAGAGGGAGGGAAGAGAAGGGAGAGAAAAATCAGGGCGAAAAGGGGAGAATAGGAGCAGGGAAGTGGGGGGGGAGAGGAGAGGACGGCGGCAAGGACGGAATCATGTTTAAGTAGGTCGAGAGTGGGGAGGGGGAGGGGGGAGGTAGGTCGAGAGTGGGAAGAGTGAGTCTCTAGCCCATGTCGAGCCATGGGGCTTGTAACCCCCCCCTCCCGATCAGCTAAGCACGGACAGACTAGGAACGGATCACTTGCGCGGAACGCATTCGACGCTAAGGTAAACATTAATCGGCAGCGGCCCGTAGCCAGCTGGCTTGGCGGTAGACGCACCAGCGGGCGACGGCGGAGCGCACGGCCGCGACTCCTCTCGACGACTGCCGCGCTGCGAGCCCCGCAAACATGGCGAGGGCGACGCGGAGCGGCACGCGGGAAGGGTGAGGCGAGGCGATGCGAGGAGGCTGCGGCGCGAAAGGTGCGTGCGGCGATGTGAGCAAGTGGAAAGCGATGACGAATATATGGACACCGCACTCGCTTCGTTTTATGGGCTGGTTATTATCTGCTATTATGACGTCAGGTTCAAAATTATCGTACAGATGCTTTTCAATCAGATCTATAGCTGTAGAAAAATATCTAGTTTGGGCTTATAATACAAGCTCGCAATAAAGCGCTAAAATCAGGGGAGCGCCTATAATCGAGTAAAAACTATAAGCCCATGTGCCAATTGAATGCCAGATATGAAATTTGAATTTTCATCACCAAAGTGCAGCTCTTGTATTTGCGAATTCACACGGGTCGTTATATAAGGGGTATGTGCGAGATGACATGAAATCATTCCATGACTGTCAATACACAGACTTGTTGGGCCACAATCAGCCACGCGGAGAACCCCTCTTACGAACCCCCTTTTTGCAAAGGGGGGGGTGAGAGAGGGATGAGGAGAGGAGGTGGGGGGAAGCCACGCGGCGAACCCTGTCAAAGTACATGCATGTTATATATGTGTAGGCTGTAGTGGGGTAGCCAATATGGGGTACAGCCCCTTTTAGGGTTTCATACTTGTACCCAACTCTTTCATAGTTCATTCATTCCTGCTGCTAGATTCTGACATGGTTTCAGAGCACTAGGTCCGTAGAACCGTCTTTTTTTTTCCGGGCCCACCTACCATTGCGGTTACCACGCTACCCCACGTGTTGCCTGCCTGCCTGCCTTGCCTTGTGACGTGCTGTGCTGCGCGCGCCGTCCTGCAGCCCTCGCGCTGCCTACTGCTGCCCTAGGCCAGCGCGCCGCCCCTGCAGGCCCGTAAGGCCCGCGCGCCGCCCCTGCAGACTCGTACGGCGCGCACGTCGCCCCTCCAGGCCCGTCAGGCCCGCGAGCCGCCCCTGCAGGCCCGTCAGGCCCGCGAGCCGCCCCTGCAGACCCGTCAGGCCCGCGAGCCGCCCCTGCAGGCCCGTCAGTCCAGAGCGCCGCCCCTCCTCGCGGCCACGACCTGCTACTGACGCGGCCCCACTTGGCCCCGCCCTGCAGCAGCCCGCGCGCGGCTCGCTGCTGCTTCGCGCGCCGCGTCCGCAGCCCGCGCTGCGTGCTGCAGCCCCGTGCGTCGCACTGCAGCCCCGCGCGTCGCGCTGCAGCCTCGCGCGTCGCACTGCAGCCCCGCGCGTCGCGTCAGCTGCCCGCACGTCGCGCTGCAGCCCCGCGCGCCGCGGCTGCCGTCCTCGCGCAGCCCGCGGCGGCTTCGCGCGCCGCGCCTGCAGCTCGCGTTGCGCGCTGCAGGCTTGCGCGCCGCGGCTGCCCGCGCGTCGCGGCGCCCCCCCCCCTGGACGTCGCCCCGGCCTGTCGCGACGCCCCTCCTCTGGACGCCGCCCCTGTCTGACTGCCGCTGTCGCCCCTGCAGCAGCTGCCGCGGAGCGCCTTGCCACAGTCGCGGCCCCGCCCTGCAGCAGCTGCCGTGGAGCCTTCTGCCGCCGTCACGGCCCCGCCCTGCAGCAGCTGCCGCGGAGCCTTCTGCTGCCGTTGCGGCCCTGCCCTGCAGTAGCTGCCGCGGAGCCTCCTGCAGCTGTCACGGCCCCGCCCTGCAGCAGCTGTCGCGGACCTGCCCTACCGCCGACGCGGCCCTGCTCTGCCGCAGCTGTCGTGGCCCCGCTGTCGCCGCCGTCGTGCGCCTACCCGGCCGCCGCCCGCCGAGCGCCGGCCCTGACCGCCACTGGTGAGCACCTGCCTTGTTCGTGCACTTTAGCGCCACCTGCCTGCCTGCCTGCCTGCTGCGCCTGCCCTGCCCGCGCTGCTACTGCTGCTACTGCTGCTCCTTCTGTTACTACTGCTAGGCTGCTGCTACTACTGCTGCTGCTACTACTGCTACTGCTGCTACTGGCGGTGGCCAGATGCAGCTCCAGCGACGTTCACGCATGTGAACTGGCCTTGTGGCCCTTTGCTTGTGCTCAGTGTGTCTGGTGACGTTGTGATCCACCCTGAGCTTACTTTGCTTCTCTTGACTGGGCTTGTGACCCCTTGCTCTCCCCCACTTTGCCTATGGGGGTGTGTCAAAGTACATGCATGTTATATATGTGTAGGCTGTAGTAGGGTAGCCAATATGGGGTACAGCCCCTTTTAGGGTTTCATACTTGTACCCAACTCTTTCATAGTTCATTCATTCCTGCTGCTAGATTCTGACAAACCCCTCTTACGAACCCCCAAACCCACACCCCCTTTCAGCCACCCCCCTCAACCTCACCCCCCTTGTCAACCGCCCCCTGAAACCTCACGCCTTCCCTCCCACCTTGCCTCCAAAGCCTTCCCCACCCACAATGATCCCTGCTCAAGCCTTCACACGGCGGCCAGAAACCCGCCACCCCCTCACCCTCCCCCCCACAGCGGCACGTGTGGCAGTGAGAGAGAGAGGAGTGTCAAATTATATATGTGTTACATATGTGTAGGCTGTAGTGGGGTAGCCAATATGGGGTATAGCCCCTTTAGGGTTTCATACTTGTACCAAACTTTGACCTAGTTCATTCATTCCTCCTAGTTGTTTCTGACATGGTATTCAGAGCAGTAGGTCCGTTGGACCGATTTTTTTTAGGGCCCACCTACCGTTGCGGTTACTGAGCTACCCCACGTCTACGCTGCGCCGCCCGCGCGCGCCCTGCCTTGCCTGCGCTGCGCTGCCCGCGCGCGCCTCTGCCTTGCCTGCGCTGCGCTGCTCGCGCGCGCTGCCTTAGTCCCACGCGCGCCGCTTCAGCAGCTTGCACGCCCTGCCCTGCCCTGCCCTGCAGCTCGCGCGTCGCCCGCCTGCTGCCTGCGCGTCGCCCGCTAGCAGCCCGCTCGGCCCGCGCTGTGCCTCTGCCCGTGCGTCGCCCGCCTGTAGCTCGCGCGTCGCCCGCTTCCTGCCTGCGCGTCGCCCGCTAGCAGCCCGCGCGGCCCGCGCTTTGCCTCTGCGTGCCCGCGCGCTGCCTCTGCAGGCCCGTAAGTCCCCCGCGCCGCCCTCGCCGCCCGCGCGCAGCCATCGCCTGCTCGCTCGCGGCCCCTGCTGGCCAGCGGGCCGCCTTCGCCGCCCGTTTGCGGCCTCTGCCCGCCCGCGCGCTGCCTCTTACCCGCGCGCGCGCTGCCCCTTACCCGCGCGCTGCCCCTTACCCGCGCGCTACCCCTTACCTGCGCGCGCGCTGCCTCTGCCGGCCAGCGCACCGCCCACCTGCAGCCCGCGCCCTGCCTTTGCTGATCCGCGCGCCGCCACTGCAGCCCTACGCGCAGCTTCCCCTGGCCTGCTCTCTGCCCTGCAGTCCGTGCTCTGCTTTGCCGCCTGCGCGCTACTCTCACCTGCGCTGCACTCATGGTGACTCTCAATGTCCTCGCTTTCGATCCTGACGGTCGCCCGATAGAGTTTGCCACTTGGCTCGACGACCTGCAACTGTTTCTTATGACTGATGCCAAAGACGAAGTTTCACTGTTCGATCACGCGTCTGGCACTTCCGTTGCTCCTACTGACACTGCTGCCGCTCTCGACCGCTCACAGTGGCAGACTCGTGATGCTGCTGCGCGCCTCGCTATTCGCAACCATCTGCCGATCACTGAGCGCGCGCACTTTAGTCAGCACAAGACTGCTAAGGCACTGTATGAGGCTGTACTTGCCCGCTACTCTTCCCCAGCCACTGCAGCCCTAGGTCGTCTTATGCTACCCAACCTGTTCCCTGACCTGTCCTTACCACCGCTGAGGACCTCATCTCTCACCTGCGCGGTAGTGACGCTCGCTTTCGTGCAGCCCTTTCAAACGAGTTCCTCGCCGAGAATCACCCCCCGATGTACTTTACTCTCTACTTCCTCGTCACCCGCCTCCCTGACACTCTTCGCTCAGTCAGGGACCACTTTCTAGCCCTAGACCCTACCACTCTCACTGTCGCCGACTTCGAGAAGCACCTCCTAGCAGCCGAAAAGAACATTCTCGCTGTAGGTGCTGCTCGTGGCACTCCTCGCACTCCCCTCTTTGAGGGGTGCTCCCCCTCCCCTCTTGCCCCCTCATACGCCTCTGCTGCTGCTGCTCTCGACTACCTTGGTGCTGAGGAGGTCAGGGCTGCTTCCGCTCCTAGTGGGAAGCGCCGTAGCGCCAGGGGCAACAGGGGTGGCAGGGGAGGTGGAGGTGGCGGTGGAGGGGGCGGTGGTGGAGGCGGCGGGGGAGGTGGAGGTGGTGGGGGTGGTCGTGGGGGTGGAGGTGGTGGTGGGGGTGGCGGTGGTACTGGGAGCGGTGGAGGAGGCAGCGGCGGTAGTGGGGGAGGAGGGAGCAGTAGTGGCAGCGGTGGTGGGGGCTGGAGTGGACCCGGCCAGAAGGGGAGCTCCAGTGGTGACCAGGGACAGCAGCAGCATCAGCAGCCGCAGCAGCAGCAGCGTCAGCAGCAGACCCTCTCCCCTCAGCAGCTTCATGACTGATATGCTCAGTGTGGGGCGTCTGGGGGTCCTGTTCGCTGCCCGTATATCACTCGCACAGGCCCCCGCACTCGTCGGCCATGCGGCGGGTATCACACTGAGCACCGCTGCTTCTCTCCGCTTAGCGACGCCTGGCACGCCAAGTTTCCTGAGGCTACTGAGTTCCCCCCTTAGGCAGACCTGCTTAGGCGTGGTGTTCCTATCTTTGATCTTGACTATGATGTAATTCTTGCTGCCATGTATGCATTGACTGTTAGTGCCGAGGGTGACTGCTACTTGTGTATGCCGCCTGACCCAGATATCGAGTTTGCAGCCCTAGGTGCTAGTGAGTCTGTTCTCCCTGGTACTGCGTCCGCTCAGGCCTTGCACACCTTTACACT